AACACTTCATGTTTAAAGTCCCTTTGAGCTCTAGAATTCTGTCATCCTGTAATAAACGACTCAGGGATCTACTTTGTACAGAGCTTTGGGCTGGACCTAGGAAAATATAGAGAAAGCAGGGGAAGCTAACTGACCAACGGGGAGACTCATAAACACAGAAAGCAAATAGAAAGCCTAGTGTTCTGCTGCTTTTCTATCTCCCAAAACACCTAGCAAAGTGCCTGCCATGTAGATAATTGGGGCAGGAAACCCGATCTCTTGCTATTTGTAGTGAGTCCTTCCATCCCCTGCTCTCTCTCTCTCCCCAACACAGCCTGGGCTCTAGGGCAATACTCATATTTAGATGGTATCATTAGATTACTTTTTATGCAATACAGCCATGGAATATGTGGTAATTTTTCTGCCAGGAACAAATCCCTCTTTGCATTTAAATCTCTGTTCTTGGAACCTCCCAGAAAGGGTTTCCAATAATTTCTTGATGCTTTACTGTCATGTTAAAACAGAAGAATATATAAGCAAACAACACCACTAACTCTGCCTCTAACCTACTTTGTGGTCATAGGCAAATCACTTAGTATTCATGGTCTTCAATTTCCTTCAAAGTTAGAATGTAAAAGCAAAGAACAATAACAAACAAACCAACTAAAAACCTGAGTACAATATAACTATAATCGTCTAGCTTGGCTCAAAAGAAGAGATAAGAAAATTACCCTAACTTCCTTTCTTTGCAGAGGTGAGGGACTATGGGTGTGGAACATTGCTTACACTTTCAGGTGTTTTGGTTAGTTTTATCAAATTGATCCCCCCCCCCATTTTCTTTTTTATTCTGTTACAAGGGCTAGCTTGCTGGGTAGGGGAAGTGGGAAAGACGTGCTAAGAAATGAAGATGATATAAAAACAAAAGATATGTCAATAAAGATAAATTTAAAAACATAAGAAGGGAGACAGTTAGGTGGCAGTTAGGTGGCTCAGTGGATAAAGCACCAGCCCTGAAGTCAGGAGGACCTGAGTTCAAATCTGGCCTCAGATACTTGATACCAGCTGTAAGACCCGGGGCAAGTCACTTAAATCTGATTCCCTCACCAAAAACAAACAAAAAAAGAATTATTAAAAAAAACATAAGGGTTGGACTAGTTCTAAAATTCTATGATGACTAGGAATTTTCTGATATACAATTCAGTTATAGTTAAATACATAGGAATTCATTATATTTTATAATTAAGTTCATGATTTTACAATTCATTTTATTAAATAATATTTCTCAAAATGTAACCAAGGTGGATTTTGGAAAACTCCTGATATACCTGATGCTGTGGGGAATACTAGGAAATGTCACAGGATTCTGTCCTGATGGAACTTAGACTCTAGTTGTAGAGACAGGATATCATCCATGAAACAATTATGATAATACAAGATAGAACATAATGACTACACCTAAATATAGTCTGCATAATAAGATCTCTTTGAAAGGAAACATTGGGGGGGTGCAGCTAGGTGGTACAGTGGATAGAGCACCGGCCCTGAATTCAGGAAGACCTGAGTTCTAACACTTACTAGCTATGTGACCCTGGGCAAGTCACTTAACCCCAATAGCCTAAAAAGGGAAAAAAAAAAAGAAAGGAAACATGTGAGTGTGTCCTTAAAAAGAACTGGTTACAGGGCGCATAGGTTTTATACAAGGCAGACACTGTGGGAAAATACAGCATTTATTTGGACCAGTATGGTAAGTGAAAAATGTTTGGCATGGACTTTAATGAGATGAGAAAATCAGAGGGGACTAGAGAATCCAGGAAAGGTTTCCCTGAAGAAAAGCAGGCTTTTTTTTTTTAAAGCAGGCTTAAGGGAGTCCCAGAACTAGGATTTGGAAAGATAGGTAGGATTTGGGGGGCGGGCAGCATGACATAGTAGACATAGTATAGGGAGGGATTTAAGGTCAGGAGTGAGATCTGGGTTCAAATTCCGACCTCGATACTTACTGTCTGTGTGCTGTCATTGCTCAGTCGTGTCTAACTCATGGTGACCCCATTTGGGGTTTTCTTGGCAAAGCTGCTGGAATGGTTTGCCCTTGCCTCTCATTATATAGATAAGGAAACAGAGGCAGACTGGGTTAAGTGACTTGCGCACGGTCACACAACTAGTAAGTGTCAGAGGCTGGATTTGAACTCAGGAAGAGGAGTTTTTCTGAATCCAGGCCCCGAATTCTATCCACTGGGCCACCTAGCTGCTCTGTACTGTCTGTGTGAACATGGGCAAATCAATCGACCTTTTCATCATTGGTCAAATGAGAATAATAACGTTCATCAGGAAGTATTTCATGAAGCTGAAAATGCTACATAGGAACCCTGGATTCAGAGGGGGAAAGGACCTTTAGAGATCACCTAGCCTAGAATAGATATAGGGACTAGATCTATAATTTCATTGATAGAGAGAAATTACCAGATGAGGAAACTTTCTGTCAACGTGTGTCAGCACCTTAGAGTGAGCCGCTGAGAACACTTACCCAGGATCACACAACCAGGATGTCAAAGGCAGAACTTGGCTCTTCCTGGCTCTGAAGCTAACTCTATCCATGGACATGCTGCTTCTCCATCTAGTTTAACTCCTCAGACTGAGGACCAGGGATATAGAGAAACTTGTCCAACATCACATAGGTGCTAAGGGAGTAGACTTGGGATTTCAACCCAGGTCCTCTGTAATGAATACAATCTATTTCCCCTGGCTCCCACACCCCCTCCCCAGTCTCTGTCTCACTGTCTCTGTCTTTTTTTTGTTTGTTTTTTTGGCTGGGTGACAGGGCTAAGTGACTTGCCCAGGGTCACACAGCTAGTAAGTGTTATGTGTCTGAATCCGGATTTGAACTCAGGTCCTCCTGAATCCAGGGCCAGTGCTCTATCCACTGCGCCACCTAGCTGTCTCTCTTAAGGGTGGGGAGGCAAAATGGGTAAAGAATTCCTCAAAAGCTGAGAGATGCGTTGTCAAGGTGGTCATGATTCTGGGATGACTTTGGAAGAATTTCAGAGATGTGGTCTGACAGAGGGAAAGGAGGCAAGGCAGCTTTATCCTTTAAGGGAAAAGAGGATGAGGCAGTCCACAATGCTAGGAGGGGCTCCTAGAAGTTAATGGCTTGTTTATACTTTTCAGTTGTGGAATGACACTGGGATCTTGTGGGCTTGCTCTCTTCAAAAGTGTGAGTATGGCTGGGAAAGGAAGGATAGCAGGGGTGGTACTTGGACCCTGGGGAGTTCTAGAACCTCCTGATCACTGACGGAGGAGATCTGAGGGGTGTCATGGTGGCTAGCTCCCCTTCCCACTCCTTCAGGAGGCCCAGATCACTAGCCCTGGTGCTGACTTCTCCCTGTTCTGTCTCTTAGACACCCACGAGCGTTGGGTCCTGCTTTGGCTGGCCTTCCTAGTACTGGCTGCTTGTATCCTGCTTCTCCTCCTGCTCAACAGAGGTGGTATGAAAGGTGAGATGCTGCACTCTCAGGGATGTAATCTCCTGGGGCAAGATAAGAACAGATCTCCCCTTCTCTCCATCCTCTAGCCTTTCAGGGATTTTTCCTCTTCCTGACACAGCCTAGGTACTGCAAAGAGTCCAGTTAGAAAAGTCCCTAGTGGGGAGGGAGGAGAGGGAGGTTGGGCAGAGACCTAGAATGACCTAGCCCTAGCAGGCCTAGAATGCCAAACCTAAATGCCAAGCACATCCAGGCGCCAGGCTGATTGGCTACCTCGCCCCTCTCCCTTCACAGGGTGGCTGCAATTCTTGAAGGAGGATTACCGCTATGGGGGTGAGTGTCAAGGGGGGATCCCGGGTCACACCTCTCCCTATTCTCTATATAGTGGGGCTGTTGAGTTGGGGATGGAGCTAGGAAAGATGCCCCGGATATTTCCTTACTCTGATCCTTCCCACCCAACCACGGTTCTCTTTCTTGCAGGGGCTGCCCGTGGCCGGAGGGCCCTCCTCCTCTACTCTCCAGACCATGCCGGCTTTGAGCGCCTCGTGGGCACCCTGGCCACAGCCCTGCGGCAGTTGCAGCTCTCCGTGGCTGTGGACCTGTGGCACCGGAGGGAATTAAGTGCCCTGGGCCCCCTGGCCTGGTTCCACGCCCAGCGTCGGCAAGCCCTGCAAGAAGGTGGGATGGTCATCTTGCTCTTTTCCCCGGGGGCCGTAGCGCTCTGCCAGGAGTGGCTCCAAGAGGTGGGCGTTCCCCAGAGACCGGCCCCCACTGCGGACACCTTCGCTGCTTCTCTCAGCTGTGTGCTGCCCGACTTCGTGGAGGGCAGGGCTGCCGGGTGCTACGTGGTCGCCTGCTTTGAGGAGCTGCTTCCCCCCCAGGGGATACCCGACCTCTTCCACGCCGTGCCAGTCTTCTCTCTGCCCTCACAGATGCCCGCCTTCCTGAGGGCGCTGCTGGGGTCGGGCGCACATCGCCAGGACACTTTGAAAGCTCATGCCACCCGACTGGGGCAGTACCTCCAGCCTGCCCTGGAGGAATGCCTGCAGCTGGGGTCATCGTCCTCTCTCTGACCCGGCCTTGGCCCCTCGCCCAGTATGCCCAAGGGCAGCAGCCAGACCCAAGTCCACTGCAGCCTCTGGATTTGCATCTACCTGGAGCAAAGGTCTCCTCATTGCAAATCCCACCCATCAGTGCCGGAGGACATGTGTGTTTAGGGGGACAGAGCCCTTCCTGCCTAGGGGGTCTCTGGGAACCCCTGCTTTGCGCTGCGCGGGCATATCTGGGTGAATAAAGATAGACTTATTTTTGTAGCCTCCAAGCCTCTAGTGTATGCATCTGGGCAAGGGACTCGGGAGCCCAGGACACCACCCTCGCGTGGTCCGCGCGTCGTCTCTTTAAAAGCCCGGACAGGTGCACCCTGAGCCAGCTCCCATTGGCCGCTCGGGCAGTGACGTCAGGGCACATGGCCTGACGCCATTGGTGGAAGGGCCGGCCCCGCCCCCTAGACTGCGGCGCTTGCGGAGCCTCCGAGCCGCGCGGAGGCTGCGGCGGCGGCGGCGGCTTAGGCGGCGGCGCGAGGGCGGCGGCGCGAGGGCGGCTGGGCTGGGCGCGGCCCTGGAGCCCCCAGGCCATCCGGGCTCCGGAAGACGGCGGGTACGGACGGCCCCACCCTGGGCGGGTCCCGCCCCCCCCCGGAACTGAGGGGGGGAGATGTGTCATCCCCCCCCCAGGGATCTCCTCCCCCTCCCCTCTCTTCCTGCCCCTCCCCCTCCGCGGTTAATATGAGCCCCCTCCCGTCCCTCTTCCCTTCAGTACCGCTGTTAGTGTCAGCCCCCAATATTGTCCCTTCCCCGAATACCTACTTAATATCAGCCCCCCAGTACTGCCCCCTTCCCCAAATACCTAGTTAATGTCAGCCCCCCAATATTGTCCCTCCCCGAATACCTACTTAATATCAGCCCCCCAGTACTGCCCCCTTCCCCAAATACCTAGTTAATATCAGCCCCCCAATATTGTCCCTCCCCCGAATACCGACTTAATATCAGCCCCCCAGTACTGCCCCCTTCCCCGAATACCTAGTTAATGTCAGCCCCCAATATTGTCCCTCCCCCTGAATACCGATTTAATATCAGCCCCCCAGTACTGCCCCCTTCCCCGAATACCTAGTTAATGTCAGCCCCCCAATACTGTCACTCCCCCTGAATACTTGGTTAAAATCAGCTCCCTCCCCCAAATGTCCCTTTCCCAATTAATATCAGTCCCCTAATATTGTCTTCTTCTCAATACTGTAGTTAATAGCCCTGGAATATTGCCCCCTTCCCTTGAACACCCTGTTAATATCAGCCCCCACAATATTGTCCCTTTCCTCTCAACACTCTGGGTAATGTCAGTTTCCTAATATTTCCTTTTCACTCTCAATATCTTAGTTAATGTCAGTTCCTGATATCGCCCCAACTAATACCAGCCCCTCTAACATTGACCTCTTCTTTATATAGTAGTTATGTGGTAGTTGCTCTAAGCCTGCCGGGGGGAGCATATTGCTGCCTACACTTTCCACGCCAGGGTTTTTTTCAGCTCCTTAAATATTTCCCTCTTCCATGCCTTGCTTAATATCAGCACCCCTAATATTGTCCCCTTCCTCTCAGTACTGCAGTTACTATAACCCCCCCATATTACCCCTTTTCTCTCAATATTTCAGTTAACAGCCTTTCCCCATAGTTTCCTCTTCCTTTCAATATCTTTATAAGCTTCCCATCACTCTCCCATTGACTCCTTCCCTGGAAATACCATGACTCTATATCCTCTTGCCTGCTTCTCATTCCTCCCTTCTTCTCCCCATCCCTGGCATTCCCAGCACTGCTCTGTCCAGCTCACCTCTTTTGCAAATACTCCCTATGAAATCCTCAATAGACACTGTCCCTTTGCTGGACCAGTTTTATTCTTCCTTCCTTTCCCCCATTACTATAATCCTAACCCCCTTCCCACCCCCCCACCCCCAGCACTCCAGGCAGTGCCTCTTCCTTAGTCTGTCTTCCCTACCCTAGTACTGTCTCAACTTGAAAGCCCAAGTTAGTTACTCCCATCCCCATTTAGAGAGTTTCCTAGTCATTTGTTTCTTTCCTGATTAATTCCTCCTAATACTACTGCGCACTTCCCTGGAAACAAGAGTGATTACCTTCTCACTATCTATTGCCCTTCCTTCTTCCCTGATTTCCAGAACTTGTCCCATCTCCCCTCCTCCACCCCAACACTCCCTTGCTTGTTATATATTCTTCTGCCTCCATTGCATATTCTCATCACTACCCTTATTAAATTTCCCCTAGTTTCCTGAACAGGGACAAAGTGGCCCCTGAGCCCCTGTCCCTTCAGCACCCAATAACCAGAGCCTTCTGGAAGGAAGATGGCTCCAGGCCTCTGGAGAGGCCTGATTCCTACCCTACCATGGGGCCTGTGTCTCTTTTTTGAGCTTCCCTGTCCCTGTGTGGCTCCAGTCACAGCCCTGTCACACCTGCCGGGATCTGGTCAACAGCTTTAGCAAGGTGGGTGTTTTTTCTGGTCCCTTCAGCCACCCCCCCACCCCCAGATACCTGGTGTCTTTTAAGTGTTTAAGGCAGGGCCGCTCCTTATGAAGTGGGCTGAATCCTAGAGTTTCTTTTGCCCAGGGCCTGGAACGTACAGTTCGGGACAACTTTGGAGGAGGGAACACTGCCTGGGAGGAGGAGAAGCTGTCTAAGTATAAGGACAGGTAGTTTCAAGGGTTGGAGGACCTTGGAGGGCCACTAGGTTGGGGGAAGGGCCTCCTTTCCCAAGGCGATGGGGATCTTCCTCTGTTTATTTCCAATCCCTACCACATGGGGCCAGGAGCGCTCAAGGGTCAAGTCAGCCAGCTGTATAAATTGAATCCCCCCCATAGGTGCCATTGGCGGAGTTCCCTGGCATAGCCAGGTGGGGGTGGGGGAGGGAGGGCTGGGCAAGGAGCAGGGCTGGGCCTCAGCTTGTTCATATGCTGTGTGGCCAGTGAGACTCGGCTGGTGGAGGTGCTGGAGGCTGTGTGCAGCAAATCTGACTTTGAGTGTCACCAACTTCTGGAGCAGAGTGAGGAGCTGGTGGAGACGTGGTGGTTCCACAAGTGAGTGGGCTCCCCTGAGGTGCTGGGAGAGAACTGGGGGGAGCACATATTGTCATGAGGGAATATTTCCCATCAATCCAAATACCAGGCCATTGCTGGATCTCTTTTGCCCATATCACACTCCATCTTGTGTCATCATTGCTTGTGTTAAACTTTGGGGTTCCCCCCATTAGATTGTAAGCTCTTTGAAAGCAGACACTGCTGCTTTTCATCTTTGTGACCTCAGCACCTAGCACAATGCCTCCGTGTTAATGGTGCTTAATAAATGCTTTTTTAATTGAATCAAACCAAACTAAACTCTATTTTGGGAAACAACTCGTCTGGGAAACAAGATGGTGTGGTAGAAAGAGCATTGGTTTTGGAAATCAGAAAACCTGGAAGTCTGATGCTAATCTGATGGGGAGCAAGTCAATTAGCCTCAGGGGGCCATGGCATCTTTCTCTGTAAAGGCTGGATGATGTTTCACTTCCATACCAGCCTTAAAATTTGAATCTGTGGTTCCTTGGTTGGTGAGCATTGGGGGAGGGAGGACCCTGGGCTAGGTGGTCGAGGACCCTCTTCCTTCAGGGAACTTTGACCCTGTTCTTTGTGGCGTGTATTCTGTCCTGCCCCTTTAATGATGCCCCCACCCTCTCAGGCAGCATCAGGCCCCAGATCTCTTCCAGTGGCTTTGCATGGACTCCCTAAAGGTTTGCTGCCCTCCTGGAACCTATGGGCCCTCCTGCCTGGGTGAGTTGTTCAAGCTGCCTCTGGGACCAGGGGTGGTGGGGACATTCGGGGCATCTGTGTCCCTCTCAGGGACACTGCAGAGAGTGGGGCATGGAGCCTGTGCTATTGGGGAAGCCATTTCATTTCTCTCAGTTTCAGCTTCTTCCCACTTTTTGATTCTAACTTCATTGATTTGCTTGTGCAAAAGCTTTTCAATTTTATCTAGTAAAAATTGCTGATTTTCTCTCCTGTGATCTCCTCTAACCCTTGTGTAGTTAAGCTGTATCCTTTCCTTCACCTCTACTTGTCTTATGACCTCACCTTAATTCCTCTCTCTGCAAATTGGGGATAATGGTACTTGTCCAGCTCCCAGGATAGTTTTAAAGATGAAATGAGATTTTTAAAAAATGGAGAAGGGTTTTGAAAAAGGCAAGGGTGGTACCATGTGCTGGTATGATATCATGACAGCTAGGTCCAGTCACCACGGTGGAGGTGAAGGGTGAGGACTGTTCCGGAGGGCTCCAAGTATCTGAGGATATTTGAGAGAAGGACTGGTGGATTCTGGCTGTGTCAGCCCAGCTCCAGGACTATCCCAGGCTTAGGATGGGTGATGTCTCTTTACAGCCTGTCCCGGGGGTACAGAGAAGCCATGCAGTGGTAATGGGCACTGTGACGGGGAGGGCACCCGACAGGGCAGTGGGCGCTGTGACTGCCAGCCCAGCTATGGGGGCCCCACCTGTGCCCAGTGTGGGGACGGTTACTATGAAGCCACTCGCAACTCCAGCCACCTGGTATGTGAGGGTAGGTAGTGGGCCAGAGAGAGGGAGGCCCTTGGGTTGGGGGTGGAGATGGCATGGTCTGCTCAGCTGTGGATGGGGCCCCCTATCTTGCGCCTTCTCACCCCATCCCTCCCTTTCTCCCTTTCCATTAGCTTGCTTTGGCCCCTGTTCCCGTTGTTCCGGCCCCAAGGAGGGTAACTGCCTACGCTGCAAACGGGGTTGGGCCCTGCACCAGCAGAAGTGTGTGGGTGAGTATAGTAGTGGGGTAGCACCAAGGATAGAGCTCCCCCAGCCTTCCAGGCCTGCTCCGAGCTTGGGGTCAGGAGAGTTGGATTCTCGTCCTTGTACCATTAAGTAGCTACATGACTTTGGGCAAGTCACTTAAACTCTCTGGGCTTCAGTCTTCTCATCTGTAAAAATGGGCCTGAAAATATTGTTTGATGAAGAACTGTGAATGACTTAGATCCAAGACAATCCCAAAGGACTCATGATGAAGCGTACTATCCGCCTCCAGAGAAAGAACTGATATTGATTGAATACAGACTGAGGAGTGCTATTTTTCACTTTCTTTCTTTCATTTTTTTTCTTTTATTCGAGTCTTTTTGTACAGAATGACTAATATGGAAATGTTTTGTGTAATTGCACATGTATAACCTATATCTGATTGCTTACTGTCTCAGGGAGGGAGGAGGGGAGGAAAGAAGGGATAGAATTTAGAAGTCAAAATTTTAAATAAAAATTAGGGAAAAAATGGGGCTAAAATTACTTTTTCCTTATGGGGTTTTATAAGAATCAGATGAGCTAATGGATGTGAAAAAAACTTGAAAAGAATAAACTATAAGTACACTTAGAGTACTGTGGGGCCTCTGAGGACAGAGTCTCCACAAAGTTAGAGGCTGGAGAGAAGCAGCTGTCTCTGAAGGCTCCCCCTTCTTCACAGATATCGATGAGTGTGGGACAGAGATGGCCACCTGCAGAGCCAACCAGTTCTGCGTGAACACGGATGGGTCCTATGAGTGCCGAGGTCAGACCCAACTTTGGAGGTGGAAATTTGGGAAAGGGAGGCCATTTGGGAGGGACAGCCCCTTTTCCATTTTTTACTGCCTACTCCTACCCTTCTAAGTTGTTGGCCTGCACAATGTTGTCAGATGATGGGGTCCTATTTACAGCTCTTCCTCTTCCCTTTCTCCCCAGATTGTGCCAAAGCCTGTGCTGGCTGTATGGGGGCAGGGCCTGCCCGATGCAAGAGGTGCAGTGTGGGCTACCGAAGAGATGGAGCCAAATGCTTGGGTGAGGGACTCTTTTTGTTTTGTGCCAACCACTAACAAGCTATCTGGGCCACCCAGCACTAAGGAATGTGGTAGGGGCCAGGGACTCTGGGTCAGGGTGTCCAGAGCTCCTGTTGAAGGTTGCTTTCAGATAAAGCATGACTTCCCTTCTGTCCCCCAGATGTGGATGAGTGTGAGGGTGAAGTAGAGGTGTGCACAGGTGCTCACGAGCTCTGTGAGAACACAGACGGAAGCTACCGATGTGCCTGTGTGGAGGGCTATGAGAGAAGCCAGGAGGGCTGTGTGCCTCGGCAGCCTGAAGGTGAGATGTGTTCTGTATGTAGAACCCAGGACTTCATACACCTTTTGGTGGGGTGCCTCGAGGCAGCAAAAGTACCTTCCCGGCTAACCTGGTGGATGTTAGAGAGCTCAGTGTCCTGCTCTTCTTTTCAGTCTCCAGTGAGATATAGAGTCCTGTCTGTTGTATATTTGGTCAACTGGACATAGGCTGTCTGTTAGACACTTGTCATATTTATTCTTTAGTGCCCATAGCTACTTATTTTCTGTGTGTGCTCTATTCTTGACTGCCTTTCTCCATATCACCCCTCTGCCAAGGCCTTGCTTCCTGTCTGTGACGTTTACACCTGGCCTGAGCTGGCTTATGTCCAGCATGGCCTAGCAGATAGAACCTTAGGCTTGGAGTCAGGATATCTGAGTTCACACTCCGTTGGGGATGCTGGGCAAATCCTGTTGTTCCTCAGCTTCAGAATGAGGCTACTGCTATAGTGAGAGCAGCTACCCCAGAAGGTGGTCAGGCTGCAAGAAGTCATGTGTGTCAAACACTTTGTAAAGCTCAAAGCGTTGTTTGCATGCTAATCTCTTAATCATTATGGTCTGCAGAGCCTAAGCCTGGTGGCTTCTTCTCAGAGGTGACAGACGACGAGGTGGTGGTCTTGCAGCAGATGTTTTTTGGGGTCATCATCTGTGCCCTGGCCACGCTGGCAGCCAAAGGTGACATGGTCTTCACTGCCATCTTCATTGGGGCTGTGGCTGCCATGGCTGGATACTGGCTGTCTGAGCGTAGTGACCGGGTGCTGGACGGCTTCATCAAAGGCAGATAGAGATTTGCTACAAGTGGGGGGGCCCCCCCTCCCTCTCTGCAGTACAGGGCCAAGGGTGGTTGGCTCAGGTCCAGCCCCAGGGGCTGACATGAGGAAAGCCTGGAAACTGATGGTGGGGAGAGACTGGATCCAGTTTGGGCAAGTTAAGGTTTGTGCCAAGGAGGGAAAAAGTCAGAGTTGAGGTGAAGTAGGTCAGCAAACCTTAACTCTAACCCAAGCCCCACTGAATCAGGACTGCTGGCTTCCAGGTGCCACACTAGTCCTCTGCTAAGCTCAGTGCCTCTCTGTCCCTTGGCTCCCATCTTTATAGATGTGGGCCAGCTAGGCAGAGCTGGAGACAGGGCAGATGTCTCCCTCCTAGCCAGAGGCTAGGGCTCCGGTTATTTTGTTTTCGTGTGTGAGGTCTGAGCCAGGGTTCCACCCTTTCCTCTATCAGATGCACTTCCTGGGGCCCTCCCCTCCCCTTTGCACTGGGGCTTCAAGCCCTCCAGTGACGCTAAGGCCTGCCTGTCTTAGAAGCTGGCAGTGGAAGGGTTTTGAAAAAATGCCCCTGGAGGCAGAGCCCAAAACTTTAAGGGGAATGGGGGAGGGGGGTGGGAGTGAGATAACTGAAGGGGAGAACAATCCTAGTTAAGTGATTTTTAAGAATCATTTCCCCGTTTTGGTAGTGCCTATGACCTTGGCCACACAGCTGTGCCCTACCTTCTTCCTTCTCCCCTCTTTAGTCCTGGGAACTGGGAGGCAGAAGGAGGTGGTCCATGCAAGGGGAGGGGAGCAGAGGGACGGAATCCTCCCGCATGGTCCCTGCCCTTGCTTTTGCCCACACTGACTCAACTATTTATTCATCTCAGGAAAATAAAGTTCTTCATAAATCTAGCAATGACTCTAGCCTCTCTAAGCCACCTTGCCATCCACCCCAATCCCTAGCCTTCAGTTCCACGTAGTATACATTTGTCTGATGGTAACCCTGTGAGGTAGGGTGTACAAGTAGGATGTCCAGTGGGTCTTTGATCACCTTGAATGGGCTGTCTGGATTCACTCATCCAGCCTCATGTCACCATCCTGGGTCTATGTCCTTCCCTAAGGTTGCCCCTTGTGGCTGACCTAATGAGCTGGGAATTTGCTTTCATTTTTCCCTGATTTCTCAAGGATACTCTGCCCCACCTTGTTATCCCTCAGTCTTGCCCATAACCAGTCTATCTTTCCCACTCATACATTTATTTATTGGACATTCTTAACTCTAGTTCTTCAAAATTCCTTATTTTGTTACATGTCTACTCACTCCCACCATGCATCTCTTCATTGCCCTTTGTGTAAAACAAAAAAAATTCCCCCAAAATTTTGGGCCAAAATATAACTGTCCTCATTTCACAGAGAGGAAAACAGTCTGGCAAAGGTTAAATGACTTATCTTAGGCCCTCTGATTCGGGAATCACACCCAGATCCCTCTGAATTACCTTGAATCTTGGTTTATAACCTTTTCAACTCCCTAGAGAAGAGAAGGCACTAAGGAAGAAGGTTTGTCTCCCTTTGGAACTTGAAGAATTAGAAGGATTGGCCACTGGGGTTGGGTGGTAGGAGAGGATTTGCCTTCATTTTCAGTGTGAGAGCTTCAGGAATTGTCCCCTTGGTTAAGGGTTACAGGATTAGGGAACGTAGTTTGTGTATGTGAAATTCAATTAGAGCAAGGGCTCTTTGGAAGTAGCCTGGATGCCAAAGGAGAGAGAAGCCTTGTAGCCAGACTGTCCACTCCCAACCTCCATTTACCAGTTTGTAGACTGTCCCTCCCAAGAGCGTCTTATTCAAGTGCAGCTCGTGGTCCTAGACCTAGGAATAGAAGGATCTTTCGAGGTGATCTAGTTAAACCCCCTCATTTTACAGATGAGGAAACTGAGTCCCAGAAGAGTTAAGTGACTAGCAAAGCCAAGATTTTAATTTCTGTCCTGTGACTTCTGAGTTCAGTACACTTCCTGCTGTGGGACTACAATGGATGTTGGAGCAGTGCCTGGCTTTCCCTTCTTTGGGTGCTTGAAAGCCCAGCCTGGGATGGTAGGAGTAGCCTGACCCTTCACAGAGCTGGAGGATGGAGATCATATGGGAGGAAGTCCAAGACTTGGGGGCTAAAGAAGGACAGGAAGGGGTGGGCAAGGCAGATTGGTTTTAAAAGTTTATTTTGTCTTTCTTTTGGCACAAAGCGGGAAGTTTTACACATGGCTCTCCAAGGGGCTTCTTGCAGAATCTTTCCTTCCTTGGCTCTGTGCTGAGGGGGCAGCAGAGGGCTGGGGCAGAAGCCCCTTCCGATAGAACTCTTCCCCCACCCTCCTTCTGGCTCTACCTCCACTTGGTGAAGGCCATAGCCCCTGGGCAAAATTAGAGTTCAGAAAAAAAAATGTAAAAAAAAAATCCCTGGGCTGCTGTGGGGGACGGAGAGAGGGAAGGGAAGAGGCTCCCCCTTTTCTCTCTAACCCTATTTCCCCATTGTCTACGCATTCTGGCCTAATCACAGCTCTATGGTCTCGCTAGAAGCGCTTCGCGAATCCACCTGTTTACTCAGGGCCAGGAAGCTCCGACGGGCCTCGCGCTCTGGGTCCCCGGGCTCTTCGAGGGCGGGCACCGGCTCCGGCTCGGCCTGGGAGGGCAGCAGCTGCACAGTGCTGGGCAGCTCGTCTAGGGGCAGGCTCTCCACCGATGACAGCCCGTGGCGCCACGGGTTCCAGCTGATCTTGAGGGAGCCCTTGGAAAAACTGTCCAGCGAGCTCCCGGACGCTGCCCCGGCCTCAGGCTCGGGGGCAGGCTTGGGGACAACCCGCACGTCGGTCAAAGAACTATAGCGGTCCTGAGGGGTTAGGCCCGAACGGTCCGGGTCACTGCTGCGCCTCTGTCGCAAGAGGGGGCCCCCTGGCTGGGAGAGAGCCTGCAGAGAGGCGGCTGAGTCCCGACGGCCCAGGCCAGCTGGGTACTGCAGGCTGGAGCGCAAGAAAACGCTGTCGCGGACCAGGTGCTCCCGGAACAGCGCCTCATCAATGCTCCGGCTCAGGTTGATGGGCGAGGGCGGGCGCAAGTCCAGCTCGCTCAGTGACGGCCCCGCAGTTTTATCCAGGCACACGCTGCTGCGAGAGCGACCTGGGCCCACGTTGTTGGGGTACTTGGGGCTCCGGCCAGCCCGAGCTAGGGAGGCCGCCGAGCCGGCGGGGCTAGGAAGGACCTGGCCAGCTCGCAGCTCATTGCTGTCCTTGGGGGGCCGGAATCCACCGCTCTCCGCAGGGTTGCGAATGAGGCTCTTGCTGATGTCGGTACCGCAGCGCTCGACCCCGGGTGTGCCTGTCCAGTCGTAGCAGTTGTTGGGATACTCAGGCACCTCGTTTTTTCCTGGTGGGGGACACGCGTAGTGCAGCAGCTTGCCCCAGCACGTGTGTTCAGTGGGCCTAGGTCCCCAGCGGCATGAAGCGACCCCAGCCACCAGGGCCAGGGCGGCGGCCCAGGCGAGTTCCACCAGGCGTAGCCAGAATTGCACGCCCCACCAGGGCCAGGAGAATCGGCTGGGGGTACCCGCCAGCGGGTACAGCCACACAGCAGCCGCCAATTGCAAACCGCTGGCCAGCAATCCTAGGGCCCCGCCCACAGCCAGGACCCTGGGACCGGGACCTGGGGCTCGGCTCCTCCCGTGGCCCTCGGGGCCAACCTCCACCGCACCAAGGAGCCAGCGGCGACACAGGAGCAGTGTCCCCAGCGCAACCCCGGCGCCCCAGGCGCACGAGAGTCCCTGCACCAGCAGGTTGAGAGGAGGGCGAAGCCAGGGGGAGAGCAGATCAGCTCCCAGCAGTAGCGTCCAGTGCACGGCGCCCAGCGCGCCCAGCAGACGGAGGCTGCGTAACCTGGGCGGGAGCAGCTGCCCGAGGCCCAGGAGCGCCAGCGCCCCGAGGGCCGTCACGAGCAGCGGGAAGGGCAGATTGTAGAGCACCAGCCCCGTGCGGGCTGCCAAGCGGCCCCGCGAGCCGTACGGGTCGGCCAGTAAGTAGATGGCGCGCAGCAAGGAGGCAGCTAACACGAGAGCGGCCGCGGCCAGCGCGTGGGCTCGCCCAGGCACGTGGGGAGTGACCGCGGCGGCCACTAGGCCTGCCAGAGCCAGGAACGCCAGCAGCAGGAAGAACGCTCCGGCGCCATACACGTGGAGCTCCCAGGCGAAGCTCAGCGTGTGCCGCAGGGGCCCCCAGCGCAGCGGTGGGGAGCTCGTCTCATTGGCCTGGGGGCCGCACGCCCTCGGGCCGCAAGTGGCATCGGGAGGAAGGTCTGAGACCTCCGGACTAGGAGAGGGCTCTGGAGCGTTCGGTTGCCCCAGGGCTCTCTGGGTGGTGACTCGGATGAGACCCCTGCGGGTAGTGGTCAGGGAAGGCCTGGAGGAAGCTGGAGGGGCCGGAGGGTGGCTCTGAGGAGGCCGCTCCCCGGGCTGTCTTTCCGCTACACCTGTAACAAGGACATCTATGAGATCTCTGCCCTCCCTGAAAACACTGCCCAGTACTTCAGCCCTTCCCCTGTGGTTTGAGACGGGGTCCACCCACAAGATAAGCACCTACCTCGCAGGATCAAATGAGATAATTGTAAAAGCTGCTTAGCTTTTAGCACAGTGACTGGCTCATAGTAGGTACTACATAAATGATTACTCCCTCCCCGCCCCTGCCGCCCCCCCCCCCCCCCCCCCCCCCCCGCCTCCCCGCCAACTAGGGGGACTTCCTTTGGTCTCTCTCTCTCTCTTAATCGTTGTTATCTGGCACCCTGCAGAAAAAAACTGGAACTCTATCGAGCTGGCCCCCCTAGTCCTTAGAGCAGCAGAATGGAGAGATAGACAAATTTGCTTGGCGTTGGGAAAACTCCCCAACCTCTAAGGCCACAAATGAATCACCTAAAATGGCCTTCCTTTTTTAGAAAGCTGAGGAAAAGGGAAAATGGGAAAGCAGTGGCTTTTTAAAAACAGGAACAGCAGACCAAAAAAAAAAATTCTTGTCCTTCTAGGAAAATTGGCCCTAGGTCTTCTAATGGGGCTAGATGTGCTTCCTGGTCTCCAAATCAGGGTTCCAAATGAGAGGATTTCAAATCTGGAATCTTCTCTTCTGTAGGTAGTTGGATGAAAAGGGGCCTCTCTCCCCACCACATTCAGGCCCCACAAAGAGTTCTCACCTGGTGGGCCAGCTGCTGGGAGGCTCTTTGTGGCATTGGTCATCCTCTCAGGAGCAGGGGTGCTTGGAGTGGTAGAATTCTGGGAATTTGGGGATTCCACAGCCCCTCTTACTCGCTGAGGGGAAATCAGTTCAGCTCCTTCCAAGAGTCCTGTCTCTGAAATAATAATACCATCTGGGGAGGGGATTTCCTGATGTGACAATTCCCTCCACTAACACAACTGGCAGATGTCTAGAACTTATAGTCTTAAGAATGTTCCATGAAACTGAGAGATTAAGTGACGCTTTTCCATGTTCATGTCATTCCTAAATGTTAGAGGAAGAACTTAATTACAGGTCTAACTGATCCATAGTCCAGAACTCTATCCAATAAGCACATCGCTCCTCTACTTATCCTGTAGGTATAGCAATTCACAATTTCCAAGAAACTTTTGATTTCATTATCTCATTTGGTCCCATCATAGAATTGAGAACTCAAAAGGACCTTAGAGATCAGTGAGTCTAATACT